TTAGTGGCTTCACATAATTTTAGTTTTAGTTCTATTGATCATTTAACGGAAACTTGTAAATTAAGTTTTAGTGACTCGAAAATAGCAAAAAAATGCAATTAAAGCGTACAAAATGCACAAGCATAGTTAAAAATGTACTTTCACCTACAATTAAAGAAGCTTTGCGACATGAACTAAAAGTCAATATTTTTTTTATTCTTGTAGATGAAAGTAAAGACATAAGCAATACACGGTTAATGTGTATTTTAGTTAGGTATATATACGAAAAAAAAGTTAAATGCGAATTATTAGAATTAATTCCCATAAAATCTGATGAAGGGACAGCAAAAGGGCTCTATTCTCTTTTTAAAAAATGTCTAGATAGTTTTAATCTTGTTTTAATATTGTGGGTTATTGCTCTGATAATGCCAGTGTAATGATGGGGAATAAAGAATCATTCAAGACATACCTCTTAAACGAAAATCCACAAATTGTCGTAAATGGGTGTATATGCCACTCAGTCCATTTAATTGCTGCTGCGGCTAGTCAAAAGTTGCCAAGTAATATAGAGACCTTATTGCAAAATATTTCAAACTATTTTTCTAGAAGTCCAAAGAGACTTCGGTTTTAGAAGAATTCCAACAATACATGCGAGCAGCTGAAGTTAAAATTTTAGGTCTTAGTAAAACCAGGTGGTTAGCACTATCAAACTGTGTTGAAAGACTAATTGATCAATGGGACGTGCTTTTAGAGGTTTTTCGATTGGCTGCCTTTGAAGACAAAAATCCAGTAGGAACTATGATATTTAATGAAATGCAAAATCCCTATGTCAAGGCCTACCTTTAATTTTTAAAACATATACTTCCGAGTTTTAATTCTTTTAATGCCATGTTCCAATTATAATAATAGCCGTCCCTTTTCCTGCACAAGCTCAGCTTTTGGGGTTAAAATTCACTCGGTAAGGGGGTGAAATAGGTAGAGTATTATTATTAATCATTTTAGTATTAAACTGAAACTTTTTAATATAATATACCTACAATGGGCCATGTTCACATGTGAGATATGCTGTTTTATAAACTATATTGTAATAGTTAGTCGCTATACAAGTTATTCTAAATAATCAGTTCGTTAAAAAAGCTAAAAGTTTTTAAATTAAGCCCAATTGAAATTTAAAATTTGAAATTATACGTCATCGGGAATAGACCAATCAGCTTGTGTCGAAGTTTTTTTTGTTATACAAAACCAAGCCAACGAACAAACCTACATACAGAATGTCGAAGTGAACGCACATCTAAGTGACATTAAAAATTGACAGCACCTAACCTTAGTTTTTTGTTTTGGTTTAATTTTATTATTAATCTGAATTTATCTGGGTAAATTATCCTGTGGGATATAGGATATATAAAGGAAGAAGAATATGAATTTATCAGCTGTATTTATAAAAGTTGAATCAAGTATTTTTCCCATTGTAAACGAAAATATGATTACCGAGATGATTACTGCATTTTTTAACAATACTCAGTTTACAAAAGATAGAAAGGTAAAACTTTATTTATAAATTGTTTTAATGGTAGGTAGTTACAGTTTATATGAAGCAATACACTGTATAGTAAAACATATTTATCTCAGGTTTTATTTTTAGATCTGCCAAGCAAGAATATGGAGATATTTACTTTTTCCATAAGAGAGAAGGAGACAAATTACACCTAAACATAAAGTACAGCAAAAACCTTATGATGTGGCTGTTGTATTTAACAAAAATGAAATTTTTAGTGCAAAATGCTTAGGATATGTTGAATCTCAAGGTTTGTAATATTTATTATGCTTTTTTGTTTTTATATCACATATAATAAACAGTGTATAAGGCCCTTTATTCCTATAAATATATTTTTTTCTAATTTTGACATAAAGAGACATTTTTTGTAATCGCAGCAAGTGTTAAAATAATCTAGAAATTGATTTTGTTAGTGAACCTAGTAATAATTATGATACCAAAGTGCTGTAGAGCACCTATGAAATTTTGAGTTAAAACATGCCATATTTTTAGGCTATTTTTATACCCTTTTCAAAAATTTTATGCTCCTCGTTTTGTGCAAAACTTAAAATGCTCTGATAGCTTCGAACAAAGTCAGCAAAGCACCTCTGTTTTATAAAGTTTTTTCTGTAAAAACAGCAACACCATATATTTATGCACTTGAAATATTATATTTTTAAAAAATACATGGTGCTTGCTAACCTTCGAAAGAAGCCAGCAGAGCAATTCGGTTTTTTAAAGCTTTTTTCTAAAAACCACACCCCATTTTTAGACTCTTGAAATATTGTAAAACTTTACTAAAACAATTGCTATTTTTAAATAATACAGGGTGCTTTGTTGGAACAAAGTCAGCAGGACACTTCAGTTTTTTTAATATATAAAAACAACTACTTATGACACATGTTTAGGCTGTTTTAAAATCCTAAAAATGTGGTAAGTATATTTGTTTTCAGAAAAACTTTGAAGTCAGCAAGGAATTGCGAATTTTTTAAAAATGCCAAATTTCGAATATTTTATAATATTGTAGGAGCCAAAAAACGTGATGTGGTTTAAAAAAAAACTGGGGTGCTCTGCTGGATTCGTTTGAAGCTAACAAAGCATCCCGTAATTTTTTATTTTATAATACTCAATAGCCTAAAATGAGACAGCTGTTTAAACAAAAATGGTACTTTTAAAAATAGCAGTTTTTTTCAAAAAGCTCTATAATATTTCAAAAATGTGAATATGTGGTGAGATTGTTTTTTTAAGTTTTGAAAATCCGAGGTTCTTTACTGGATTCGTTCAGTAAAGTGCTCGTCTTGTTACATAAAATAAGGCATTTTGTAGCTGGTTATATAGTTATTTTGTAACTGCATATCTAACCCTTTTATTTTTTTCAGGAGGTTGTAAACATGTGGCTTCATAGAAGAAGTGAGGAACCATCTGTAACATCTACTCAGTGTTATTGATAATGATGTACACTTGGCTAGATTGTTAAAGAAACCTCTTCATCCACTACAGGAAAATAAATCAGTACTTTTATATTCTCAGGATTTGTATATATTTTTTATTTGTAAATAAATTGTTTTTATACTTCATTTTTCTCATTTTTTATAAAAGGTTAATAAATAAAATTTTCACAGATTTTTATATTTTTGTTTGTAAACAATAATTGAAGAGTTTTTATTAAAAATCACCAATGTTAATAATAATAACTTAAGTCAATATTATTCTTTCTCCTTTTTTAAAGCTACTATTAATAAAGGTATTACTTTAGCTTGACCTATGATCAATTTTTAATTTTGTGATATATTTGGTTTGACAGAAAAAAAATTAAAACCCTTTGACATTGGTTGTTTTTACTTAGATTTTCATAAAAAATAAACGGAACTGCAAACATGTTTTACTTCGTAATAACGAATAGCAACTTTAATTTTTTTTTTCACATTTATCACTGTTGTCATTTTCATAAAGGATTGATAAGAAGGCACACTTTCTTGTTTTTTGAAAAAGGTGGCAAGAATTGTGATATTTTTAAATTTATCACCAGTGATACCACATGTAGTTACCCGATTTATTGGAATATATAGACTTTGCTACCACATTCAACTGAACTTGGTTGTTTTTAATATTTATCACTGTGACATAGGCGTTTTTGTTAAAATGTTTCATTTTAAACTGCTGTAAATATGTGCCTTTGTTTTGGTAGTTTTAGTCCCAAAAAAAATCTATGCATATACAGGTACTCATTCCTCTTTGATTTGCTCGAAAAGTTAAAATTTTATAAAAAATTACATTGGCTGTTTAAAAACTCATTATAATCCCTGAAATGTGATAATTAGGTAAATTAAATTAAAAAACAAACAAAAAAGTTTATTAAATTAATATTTACTCTTACAAAATAGGTTCTTGTAAGTTAACAAGCAATTATGCAGATATTACTAAGTAAATGTACTTGCTTAAAATTCACACACGAATGTGGTTTTAACATGTTAAATTAACTAACCCTTCTTATAACTCTTTCCACATGTATTCTTAGAGATGCTATTCTTTTACTTAATTGTACATCTTCTGGAGAAGTTTTTTCATTCTGTGATACACTAGGTGTGGCTTTACTAAAGTGCATCCCATGTTTTCAAGTAGCTGATTATTCTGAAACCCCTATCTGCCATTATATAGGATCCAGGAACCAGTTTGTTTAAATACCCACATTTTTCCATTATTTCTATCACTAGTTCTTCCACAAAATGATGAATAAATTCGGTATCTTCAAAAATTTCAGGAGATTCTGCATTTTCTTCAAGAAGGGTTTTTAGGTCATACACCTAAGAATTTATAGTAGCCTCATTTTCAATTTCCTGAAGGGGACAATTAGCAGAAATTGCTGCTACATCTTGATTATCCGGTGTATTTTTATCAAAAAGTTCACGAGAAACATCGCTAGTAGAAGGTTGATTTTCTTCTTTCCAAATTTCTAGGAACACTAATAAATATTTTTGAAGATGAATGTGAATCATTATCACATTCTGGAACAAAACACTTTTTCGTAGTCATAATATTTATAAAAAGTACAAAATTAAACAATCAAATTCCAAATAAATTCTTGATGGAGACACTATGATGACAGATGCCATACACAGTGCTGCCATTTTGCCATTTTCTGAATTATTAAGTGACTTTTAAAACAATTAAACTTTAAATATGGTAAAAGTTTAAACATAAATAATACTTTCAAAAAACATTTGATATTATATATTTAAAAGATATTTGTTTAACGATGTTTTAGAAGTCTAAGAGTAAGAAGGAGTACACAAACGAACGTACATCACTTCTCGTAAACCTTCTAGCCGGCAACGTTGTGCGCTAGCTCCTATTGGTCTATTCCCGGTGACGTCATAAATTTTAAAAAAATTCATAACTCCGGCAAATGAATAGATAAAAAAAAAATGTAATTTTATTTTCAACTCTATTATTCATAAAAAAAATTTCAAAATTTTTGAACATGCCCCATTAACTATAATATATCCATTGCTAAACATAGATGATTTTAAGTTACTTGTAAATTGAATTAAATTATATAATTTTCACTGGAATTAATTGTAGTATGTGTGAATATAGCATTTCGAGAACGAAAAACTTTAAAAAACCGGTCCCGATTGAACAAAACTTGACAAGCCAAAAAGGTTTGTCAAAGTGTTGTCCCTAATTTTAAGCTATAAATTATTCATTTCACTCACTCACAAATAATAACAAAATGCATATTGTCAGTGTTCACCTATTACAAAACACAAAAATTAAAAATCGGTGTAGCCAAAACATAATCCACTAAATAAGGCGGCCATTATGAAGGGAGTCATTTTATTGTATTGACAGCATACCCACAGCGGTATCTAGATTTTCTGACAGCTATGGGAAACATGTTTCTCGTAATTTAGGGGCCCAGAAAGATGAAAATCTGAAATAATCTCGGAAGGTACTGCCCTCTTATTGAGGAAGGTAAAAAGTAAGGATTCTAAAAACATAAATGAACATACTTATTAAATAAAACAAATATCAATCAAAAATACAGCTATTAGTATCATCACATATTTAACTTAAATTACTAAAAATATAATTTTTGTTCTGGAAGTACCAACTCATTTCTTAACCTCTTCTTGTTTTGGGACAACCATCTTAAAAATTCTGCAACCATGGAGTTATTTTTATCACCATTGTGCTCTAAATAATCATAATATGCCATTCTGATGATTTTCAAACAGGTGCTGCTATGGTAGGGGACACAAGTTACTGGATCTACGTATTTTGCCGGTTTACTAGAATTTAATAAAAACAGTAAGAATTTTAACAAAACATTCATAACTTGGAATTTTTTATGTTACTTATTTAATTTAAAATATCAGGTAGTGCCTTTCAGGTTTCAGCATTCAGACTTTATTAAAATAAATATACTACTTGCTAAGCAACAATAAAAATGTAAAGTGGTTATTAACCAATATATTAGGTTTAATTCCCAAGCAGTTATAGGCAATTGAACACATAAGTGAATGAAGGGCCTATGTAGCAGACACATACTTCAAAGATAATTTGAGTTTAAAATTTCTTATTTGGATAGGTCACCATATACCATATACCCTTTATCCCCTGGTAACATCTTTATCTGAAAGAATATAACAGCATATAGTGTGACGATAGTCTAATTTATTTATAGTTTATTTATTTAAAACACACTATTTACAATTTATTTCAGACGTACTAATTAATTTATATAATACTTGAGACACTAACTAACAATTCTAATTTATTACAATTTTACTTTTCTGTCTAATACTTTTTACTAAACTAAACTGTGCGCCGATGAGTCGGCTATTTATACCAAGCCAATTCTGTACTCGTCGTTTCTGGGCGCTCCTGAAAATTCCATCTCTACGACTCAACGGCAGTTTCACGAAGCGTCAGCGGCGTACCTACAATCTGTTCGCTATACTTACGCGGGTTTCGGATTAACAAAATTATGCAAATTAGTCATTGACAACCAGTTCTGATAAGCCTCTTCCCAAGAAATTACGTAAAATTGCCCTAATGGTCAGATTTAAATAAAAAAACATTAGGGTAGGTACTAAATTTGTTACAAATATTGCAGTTGAAGTGTAATATAAAATTATTATTAGGTTTATAATAGCCACATTAGACTCCATTAATGAAGAAGTTTAATTCTGCTCTCAATTATACAAAAGATTATCCATTATTATTTAATTAAAAAGTTGTACATTATTTTTCATTTCATTTAACCAGTTGATATTTCCCCAAAGAACAGGTCAAACTTTCGGGTACTTACCTGGAAATTTTTAATCCGAAACCCGCGTAAGTATAGCGAACAGACTGTAGAAGATTTCGTCGTTTCATGTATATTCGAGACGCGGTCCGACTCTTTCCACATGTCAGCGTTGCTTCGATCATGAATCGAGTGGCAGACTTCCAAGGTCGCGCGTACACAGGGTAGTCTTTAGGAATTTCATGGCAATAGTTAGAATTAATTTTAGGTATGTAGGCCCTTCATTTATAAAAAAACATCGATATAAAAATAACTTCAATTAGGATTATGGTAAGTTTTAGAAGTTAGCAGTAAAAACAAATGACAAGATTTAATACTAAAATTATTACTAGTTAAATCAAAACTTACCCAGTAACTGCACATTTTAACTTTTTAGGTAGTAAAGGTGGTGGTTTGATGTTGAAAGCTTTTTTGAAAATTATATCATTAGGATCATTTAACACAGTAATAAACGTCCTCTCGCAGTATTTCTTCTCAGATTTTATATTTTCTTGCTTAATATCACTAAAATAATTATTCGATTTAATTATATAAAAAGGGCTATAATGTTATTACTATTACCTGTCATTTACGATTATTTCTTCTATGATGGGCATTCTAGTTGATCTGTATTGTATCATAGGACCAGAATAATTTTTTTTCAAGGGTCTTTTAGCTTTCTTCTCATTTTCCAATTTTTGATACCTTTCTGCAATGAAAAAAAAAAAAAAACGGAAATAACATTGCGATACCTTAGTTCACAAACCTCCCGAGTCACAAATGAAGGTTTTACAGGATACAATAAAAACATTCCTATTTTAAAAATGAATTGAATTTGAAAATTCCAAGAGACCAAGATTAATGCATCCTAAAATATTTTGGTATTTTTAAGTTATTTATTAGAAGGTTTTCATGATTAAGTAAATGGAAGGTTTGCGAACTATAAGACACTAATTGTTTTCTTTAAAGACAATATTTTTTTTTTAACTTTAAAAATGCTATATTTTCATGCAAAAACTCTCCAATTATTACATGTGGAGCCAAGATTAATAATGTCTAATTTATTTATTTATTTGTTACACCACCCAACAGTAATCACCATTTACTGGGTGGGAGAGACAAAACATTAGAATAAAAATATAAATACAAAATTGTTAAAAAGCTATACAATACAAAAAATGGTTGTCTACATTGCATTACATGCTTTACATCATTTTTTTGACATTGTTAAAGAAAAAACATTTTTAATCATATATTTTTTACACGCAAAAATATCCAAGCTGTCTTGAATTTCATGATATTTTTGAATAGATTGGTGGAGATGAGTTCAAAACATTAGTTCTAGAAGCTGGCATGTAGAAATTCAAGTAAACTCTTAAACTAGCACGGGGGATTTTTAGATTAACGTAATTTAACAAATCAATACTGTCGACTGAGCTATTTAAAAGATTATAAAGTAGGAGTACCTGTTTTCTACGTATCACGAGCTCTGAAAGATTGAATCTAGATATTAGTAAATCGTGGGGATATTCCCTTGTAGGGTATATACCATCTAAAATGTAGGAAGCCGATTTCATGAATTTTCTTTGAATTTTTTCGAGTAAGTCAGTATAAATTTTATGCACGGGATTCCAAACAACAGAACAGTATTCAAATTTTGATCGTACAAAGCTAATATATAGAATTTTTAAGGTGAATATGTCTCGGAATTATTTACAGCTTCGAATAACAAACCCTAAGCTCCTGTTAGCAGCAGATAACATTATTTCAATGTGTTTAACGAAAGTTAGTTCAGGAACAAAATAAACTCTGAGATCTCATAAATTCGGGTCGATTTAGAACAATGTTCTGTAGTTTATAATCAAAAATTATAGGTGTAACTTTTTTAGTAAAGGACATTACGGAACATTTCTCAAGATTTAGAGGGAGTGAATTATCGAGACACCACTTCACAATGTCGGACAAACACTTTTGAAGTCACAAGAAATGGTTAACATAATTGATTTCAAGCAATAATTTTAGGTCGTCGGCATACATTAAACTTTAATATGCTCAATATTAGCGACTATATTATTTATAAAAATTATATATAAAAGTGGACCTAAAATTGACCCCTGCGGAACTCCTGATGTTTGTTCGAAATTTTTTGACCTGTAACCATGACATTGAACATATTGATGCCTACCGAACAAATACGAACCAATCAATTGAATGATATGATCGCATAAACCAATGGAACTTAACTTGTAGAGCAAGATGGAATGATCAATTTTGTCGAAGGCCTTGGAGAAATCTGTGTATATTACATCAAATTGACTTCTTCTATCCAAGACTTCCGAAATGAATTGCGTCGAACATAGAAGGTTTGTAACTGTAGATCTATTTTTCATGAATCCATGTTGGTCACAAGATATAAGACGGGAAACATGATTGGAAATACGATCGTGAGTAATTATTTATAATACTTTAGCAAAATTGCAAAGAATGCTTACGAGCCGATAATTACAAACATCATTTTTACTACCTTTTTTATGTAGCGGAGTAATTCTGGAAATTTTCCAGGCAGTAGGGAAAATACATATGTTTCAATGGAGTGGCCAAAATTAATGCACAGTCTCTGACAAGAAACGAAGGAATAAGTGCCTTTTCACCAATACAATTATTCTTTTAATACATTCATTCCTAGAACACTTACAGCCGTATGCATAGTCGATCGCCAGCGACTCGCCAGAGATTCATTTCGGCATATCGCCAGCGATTCGCTGGCGATTCGCCGGCGAAAGCCCAAAAAGCTGGCGACTCGCTGGAGATTGTCACCGGAATGTCATTCCACGCAAGTTTTCATGTTCTTTTATAGGGAAAAATTTGATATTCGTTCATTATTTTTTGAATTTTAAGAAATGAATCATGAATAAAATGAGAGAGGTACCGGTGATAATCCCTATAAAAGAAAATAAAAACTTGCGTGAAATGACATTCCGGTGACAATCTTCGGCGAGTCGCCACCTTCTTGGGCTTTCGCCGGTTGTAAGCAGGTAGGGTTAGATTTGGCGCAGAACACTGCGGTATCTTGAGTCTAATCTATTCCCCTGCTTTCCCTGTATTCAGGTACTATCTTTGGAATAGTCCTGTGTCTTTGGTTAGTTTTAATAAGTTCCCTACCAAGTGTTCCTGGGGCGTTCTTTCCGGTTCTAGGCCAAAAAGAATGAAACGTCGCCTAGTAAGAGCTTCGTATTCGAAGATCACATGGTAAGAGGTTTCTTCCTCTTCCATGCAGAGTCTACACGTAGTGGGATCATTGTGTAATCACATCACATGAAGGTGTTTCAGCAAGCAGTGCCGCCCCGTTAGTAATCCCACAATAGTGGATATCTGAGGCCTTGCGAGTTGTAGTGCCTCAGTAGCCATGCATGGGTTTGGTCCCCTTAGCATGAGCTTACTAATTCTGTGCCCTCTTATCTGTTGTCAGTGAATTTGGTGTTTTGTGCTTATCCACCTTTTCACTGCCTATCGAGCAAAGGTTTTGCTTATCCCAAATACAGGTTCGTGTCCTGTGAATGATAGATCTGATCCCTCTTTGGCAAGTTCATCAGCTTTTTCATTTCCTTAGATACTTTTGTGCCCTGGTACCCACGCTAGTTTTACCTTATTGTGGGTTGTCAGATCATTTAGTATTCCAAGGCAGTTCCAGACAAGCTTTGACTTGATTCAGTTTGAATAAAGAGCCTGTAAGGCTGCTTGGCTATCTGAGAGAATTAGGATGGTTTGTTTTTTGTACATCCTTCTTAAATTCTCTCGTACACACAATTCCATTGCATGTATTTCAGCCTGAAATACAGTGGTATGTTTTCCCAGTGAGGCGATGATGTCGCATTTGGGTTTAATTCCATGTGTGCCAGAGCCTACTCCCTTGTTAGTTTAAGATCCATCCGTATACCATACGAGACCGCTAAGCAAGTATTTATCTATCTCCTTATTTACCTCGTTCCAGTTACAGTTGACCTGGAAGAGTCTGTTGGAGGTCTTGTGATCTGATCCCATGTTTAATATAGAATCATTTACTTCATGTGTTGTTCTGGTATGTTTTATATGTCCCAGTGGGTTCCAGTTGTTGGAGATTTCCAGTCTGTATGCACTCATTCTGGCCTCCCCCTTTATGACTAGGTCAAAGGGTGGGAGGTTTAGAATAATTTTTTAGAATAATTTCCATAGAGGCTGTCGGTGTACTTCTCAGTGCTCCTCTTAACTCACACTGAATATTTGAACGCCATGTGTAATCTCTTATTCTTTATTTGCACTCATTATAATTTAATTGCTGTTTTGTACATTAGTGTCTGTCTACTGTTTTGTCCTACCAATTTGCTATATAATCGTACGAATACGTCATGTGAATTATTTTTTATTTTCATTTTATATTTTTCTTAATTTTTATGTTAACACTATTTTATATTTTATTGTATTTTATTATATCTTATATTTTAACCGAATTAGGCTTTGCCCGTAAGTAAATAAATAAATAAATATCGATGCTATTTTGATCGGGAAACATATTGAAAATTTTAATACTACAATTATTGTATTTAGATCACCTAGTAGAACAATCCGAATGCAAATTATTGGAGGACAATGGACAGCACCAGTAGATGGCAGTACGCTCCATCACGTCCAAGTCATGTTTTTGATAATTTTGTCGTCTTCTACAGAGCCATCTAACGGTTGTCGAAACTGGATAACGAACGTAATTTCTCTATTTACTAATAGATGGACCGATAGTATATATAATTCTACACTCAATGATCGAGGAAGCGCTAGCGCTTGGTTCATTTTGATGAAGTTCTGTACTTGTTCTAACAGCTGTCACGACAGAATTGCCTCTAATGAAACGTCCAAAAGGTTACCAAATGGCAATTTCGAAGCGTGTAGCTCTAAAATACGGAACACCCCCAAAGAAGAATTTATTTTCTTTAGAAATATGTGAAATAATTTTCTCAAAAATCCGCTGTCGTTTTACTTTTACAGAACATTTAATAGTTTCACGTTTGTTTGATACAAATAATCTTGCTCATTATAAAAATGAGTTTCCCGAAGACATTTAAAAATCTGTTAAAAATAAATATGAGATAATAAACGTTTCTAAGAATAAATCTGAATTGGAAGTTTTATAAAGTCGTGAAGATTATTATAATAGAGCGGGTGTTGTTGCCATTTTACAGGTGTTGTTAGAAATGAACCTGGAATTTGTGAAGAAAAATGGGTAGGGACAAAGAAGCAGGGACAGAAAATATGACTACTTCCTTAAAAGAAAAACCCCTAGAAAACATTAATTTCAAATAAAATAAATAAATTCCCTTACCAAGAGATTTTATGTTTTCCTCTTCAGTAATTTTTGCTTCTTCCAATAATTCTTCCTGCGTTGGTATCCACTCTTCAGCTACTTGTTTTTTAACCTTTTTTCTTTGCTCGAGATCCCTTACTTTAACACGTTGAGCTGTTTCTGCAGTTCTCGCTAAAGTTGACTTTCTTACTGATTTTCTACCTAAAATCACGATATATTTTTAAAAGGTATAATTTGCAAAAAATTTAAATTTGCTTTATTTTTAAATTCCATCCAACCATTAACCGTGATCATTCCTCTCGTTATGACCGTTCAGGAAAAGCTAAACATGCTATGAAGACTGGCCAGTTTAGAGTATTACAGTACATTATGTCAATCTTTCCCAGACTAGACTTAATCTACCCCTACAAAGTGGTTAATGACAGCTGTCAAAGTTGAGAAATATCACTAATCTATGTCTCCGTTAAGTCAAACTGATATAGCCAGACCAGTCACTAAACAATTTAGTCGAAACTGTCTAGTTCTATTTTTTCAAATTCATGATCAGCACACTAAGTACATGACCTGCCACCAATTTTGGTGTATTAAGTTTGTTTTTATTAATAAATTTCTTTATCCATATTTTGTTATTATGTTAAGTCTTAAAACACTCAAGACACTGATATTAAATAATGGGTAATTATTTTTTGTGTGTGCAAGTGCAACAACAGCTGACACTAGATCATTGACCATTCATTAGATAGTTTTGACTATCTGTATCTGTAACGTGTGTGTGGAGGGTGGGTTACCCCCACGGCACTTAGACCTCATTAGGCCCATTGTGCATCCTCCTAAGATGATAGGCATCTCCTAGCTCGTGATCCAGCCTACAGATTTAATGTAGTTGACAACGTCGCCAAGAGGTGATTCTCTTATATCGGCCGGTGTTAGCCGATACTCGCCGAACACAAATCTTCTAATAAATGAGAGCGTCGGGCAATCGTAAAGGATATACTCGATGGTCTCATCTTCTTGTTTGCTGCAGTATTGTCAGGATAACTTAAGAGCTCCCTGGCAACTCTGCAGTTTCTTGTTTCATCCCATCTTTCCTTGAATTTCACAAGGAAATGTTCTTTAATTAGGTCTGTCACTACCGATTTGGTCAGGCCAATAGAAGGGCCAGGTCCAAAAAGTATTTGGTTGGCTGCTTTCTTGGCTAGTGAATCGGCAAGACGGTTACCTTTCGATGTGGCGTGATCTTTGATCCATCTTAAGGTAACCACATTGTTGATGGATACTTCGGCCAGTTTTGACTATTAAAGTCAGACAAAATTTATCGACCGTTCAGCTGATTAGTCATGACTAGTCATGTTAGTCGGTGTTCTTTTTCGCCAGATATTTTCGACGGGTCCGACCGCTCACTTAATGCAACAATGGACGCCCTAAAGGAGGTGATCATAAGCTCTCTAATCCTTATTACTAATATCCGACTATGGTTAAGGCTATCACATATTAAAGGCAGCACAGCATAGGGTAGTATACGCAATTAAATAACACGCCGCAGTTTGGACATGGACAGAGAAGCAACCAGCGCGCTGTAGTAGCAGAGTACAGTCTGGTCTGTGTCGGTTGTGGAGTGAGCATAGTTTCCTCTGACGATTGGCAATCTTTGTACTCTTGTCTTAAAAAAGTAATTGTTAATTGAATTGTATTCTGTAGAAATTGCTGTGTTTAATATACGGTAGAAGCAAGAGCAGTGGAGAGGAATAGTTTTTGTCTGTTTAAACTATGCTATTCTGCTTTCAATGTGCCTTGTGTGAAGAAAAAAAGATTGTAGAAAAAAAGGATAACTTTTTTAGATGAACACTGGATTCTCCTTGATAGCTACTTTTGTACTGGTTTTCTGTCGACTAAAAATGCTAATGGCGCACTCTTTCTGCTCTGGAGAAGCTTCATCTCAAAATGAAAATATGGTAGTTGGTGCCATGTTATGCGATCTATCCAACGCTAGTAGTGGCTAAGTAGTTATTAGGGATGTGCACGAGCTTGTAAAGTTCGAGCGCTCGCGATCAAGCTCGAAAAATTGCAGCTCGAGCACGCTACAATGCAGCTCCGAACAATACGAGCGCATCACGTACCGGTACAGCTCGAGCGGCTTTAGCGGCTCGAGTCTCTTATGATCCGAGAGTTCCGTACTCTGAATGAATCATTCAACATTAAATTTAGTGGTGAAAAGTGATTAATGTGATTAATGAGTTTCGGTCTCCGTAATATAAGTGTGATAAGAATTAGTTTTTGACTTCATTTACGTTTACAGTAAGTATATAGGATTTTTTTCATTCGAATAAATGAAAATTATTTGATATTTTGAATAAGTAACCAGTCATTAACTCGGTCTATCTAAGCATTGAAGTGCTCGAAAACATTATCACGTGATCTCTCTGACAAGGCTGCTTTTACAGAGTCACACTAAGGGACGTTCGAGGTTTTATTAATTTTATTAAATAATATGCGACTAGGTATGGAGAAATTACTCGATGATAAGTTCATTACCGAGAGTTCGAATGATTCGGAGTACGGAACACTCGGATCGTTCGAGGCTCGAGGCACTAAGGGACGTTCGAGGTTTTATTAAATAATATGCGACTAGGTATGGAGAAATTACTCGATGATAAGTTCATTACCGAGAGTTCGAATGATTCGGAGTACGGAACACTCGGATCGTTCGAGGCTCGAGCCGATACGCGAGGCGCTCGAGCCGAATATTATGCAGGAGCCGCTCGGGCATCGGACTGGTCGTACTGTTCGGAGCTCCGCTCGAGCGTGCTTGAGTAATACAAGCAAGAACCGAGCCTGCTCGATCAAGCTCGTGCACATTCCTAGTAGTTATCTAACGAATAGGACAGGTTCGAGTGAATCATCATTCCAAAATGTTCCCAGTAAACGCTGGTGTTCCTCAAGGGTCTCACTTAGGACTACTACTATTCAACATGTTTATAAATAATATCACAACTTGCTTTCCTGACACTAAAACTCTATTGTTCATAGATGACGTGAAGTCCTAAGATGATTAATGATTATGATGACACTCAGATTTTGTAATCGGATTTAAATAAACTAGCAAGTTGGTGCTCTAGTAATGGCATGGATTTAAATACTAACAAATGTCACATTAAATTCAAATTCTTTTATTTGTACTAGGGACAATATACAAAGTGTATTGTGTTGTACACGTCAATATCCATAACTAAATATTACATAAAGATAAAGCTAAAAATTAAAATAGATTATGCAAAAATACCAACTGCAAGATGTAGTATTGTTATTAATAATTAATTATTAATGTGCGAGCTAGGTCGACTTACCGAGTAAGAATGGGTATTTACCAAGACTAGAGGAAAACGTAGCAAAACCCATAGTGCCATAATTTGCAATTGGTAATTACATCAATCATACTGTTTACCATAACAGAACATTAATACTGATAGGTAGAAAAAGAAGAAAAAAACTAAACTACTAAACAGCTAAAAAGGATCCTATCTTATTTATAATCCTAACTTATTACATGAATTTGAAATATTTAAGATTGTAACATCATCTAGTGAGTAGGGCTCAATATCAATTAAGATATTTCTAATGGTTGACTTAAATCTGCCTTCATTTTTAATATTTTTTATATAGCGTGGAAATATATTATAAAATTGTATGCATTCAAAATAGCATCCTTTTTCAAATAGTGTGGTTTTATGCGTTGGTACTACAAAACTATCTACTCCGCGTGTATTATGTGTATGACCAAAAATATGTTCTCTGAAGTAAACCTGAATTTAAATTACAAAATTTACACAAAAATATAAATATACATATGCCCCAACCACCGTCATCAGATTTGATTGTCGAAAAAACCCAGGACAGGAATCTCTAAGGTTCAACCCAGTTAATATTCTCAATACTCTTTTTTGTATCACAAAGACCTCGTAATTGTGAGAACCACCCCAAAAGATGATTCCGTAACACATAATGGAATAAAAGTGTCCGAAATAGGCAGATCTCAAAGTGTTTTGGTTTGCAACTTTAGCTAATTCTTTCAGAGCAAAGTAACTCTTACTAAGCCTACCACAGAGATTGTCCACATGACAAGACCATCCCAAATTCTCATCTACTATCACACCAAGAAATTTTGCAGAGCTCACATAATTAATTTCTGTGTTGTTTAGATTTATAGCATTTTTATAATCGTTCTTATTTCTGCTGTGTTTAAACAGAATACAATTTATTTTGGACATATTTAATACTAAGAAATTTTTTAAAAACCTATGGGAACTTTTAATTGTCGGATCCCATCATAAATTATTTGTAGATAATTGTAAAATTATTTATTGTAGATAAAAATGGATGACATGTCATGTAAAGTCATAATGATAATCAATAAATAGATCCGTGGTAACGGATGTTGCCAAGGAAGTGAATTTAACTTTCATCAAGGCTGCCATTTAATGAAGGTTATCCGATAGTTGACAAGACAAGTGTGTAAAGTTCTAAGGTACGAATGTATGTAGTGCAATCGAGGCACTACAAAACCACTCTGCCGTTATTGATGATATGTGCATGGTATCTTGTTTCAGACTTTCATAATCGGTACTGGCTATTAAAATGTTAGTACCATCTGCATAATTTGTTAGTGTTACAGAAGACAAGTCTATCACATTTGATAGGTCATTAATGTAGAGGAGACCAATAGCAAAGGACCTAAGATACTTCCTTGTGGTACACTCATATGTATCGATTCTTGTTCTGAGAAAAAGAGTCCACTATTTGTATTCAGACAGACTTTTTGAGACCTTGCATTCAGATATGATTTAAACCAATCATATGCAATTACACGTACGCCGATAACGTATAATTTTTTAATAATAATTGGTGGTTTACACAAAGGGTTTTGACAAGTCTAGAAATACACCATGCACAATACAGCCATTATCTAGGTGATGTAGAATGCGTTATACAAAGGAAAAATTGCTGTAGTTGCAGATTTTCCTCTTTGGAATCCATGTTGAGTAGAGGTGATAATTCCATTTGTAGCAAGAAACTTAGTAAGGCGTTTACTCATTGCAATTTCAAAAATTTTTGAGAAGCTGGTTAGCAAACTTATAGGTCTATAGTTTTCCATAAGGAATGGATCTCCTTTTTTAGAATATAGGTCTCACCACTGCAGATTTTAGTTTTGATGGGAAATCACCTTTCTGAAAGGAATTATTTATTATGTAACATAAAGGCTCAAGAATAAATGAAGCAACATTTTTAATAAGCACATTATGAATATCATCTTCACCTGCAGACAGCTTTGTTTTTTAAATTTTTTATTATTTCCGATAGCTCTTCTATTGTCACATCTGCTAGATATATAGATTGTGGATTATGTTGTTGTATTCTATTTATATCTACATTGTCCATATCTAGGTCTCCTAGAATTTGCGAAGCAGCTGTTTTGAAGTAATTATTAAATTTATTGCAGGCTTGTTTAGGAGAAGTTACAATTTGGTCATCAACTTTCATTTCATTGAAAGTAACCAAGTTTTTATTTGACCTGTCCCGTTCCGTATTAATAACGTTCCAAATAGCCTTTATTTTATTATCTGATTCATTGATTTTTTTTTTGTAAAGATGTTTTTTCTCAGATAGCAGCAGTTTAGAGTAATACCTTTTATATGCGTTAAAATCTTCTTTACTAATAAGCCTTTGTATGTACAATTCTGAAAATAAATTTAAAGTATTTTTGCCTCGCGAATGGAATTAGACAGCCATTTACTCTTTTTATGTTTTTGATGTGTTACCCTCTTCAATGGGAAGGCCTCGTTGAAGCGTTTGAGGAAACTTTTAATTAAACAGTTATACATTCTATCTACAGTGATTACTTCATACACACATAGCCAAGTTTCTTTTTGTAGTAACTCATAAATAAAATTTATCATAATTTTGTTTTCTGAAAAAATGCTTTACCTCAGTTACATTCTCCGGATTTTGTTTCTCAGTCAATACACATAACCGCTGACCTTTATGATCTGAAAGATTTGTATTTAGGACATTCGCACTGTATTCTAAAGTTTGGAATATATAAATGTTATCAATACAAGTAGATGATGTCGGTGTAACCCTGGTTGGTTCCCAAATACTAACTTTCATATCATAAATGTTTAGCATGTTTTTTAACATGGTCTGGTGTTTTAAATTCGATTTACTTAGCATATCTATATTAAAGTCTCCTGTAACCAGCATGTAGTTATTTCCTTGTGAGGCAATTTCCAACATTTGGTCCAATGAATTAGGAAAATATCTAAGCTAGTTGGAGGGGGCTTGTAAACGATACATAATACATATTGCCGATAGTTCAATACAAATTCAACAGCACAACATTCAAAGATATACTCTTTTGACAGAGCATTTATGTCACTTCTTATAATGGGCATAAGATCACATCGAGAATATAACATTACGCCACCGTGAGCAACTTCGTTTGACCGACAAAAATATGATACAATTTTGTAATTTTCAAGGGGGTATGCCTCAATACTATGAACAGTTTGCCAATGTTCACTGACTGCTACGAATTGAGGTTATAGTTCGCTAACATATACATTTAGTTAATTGATACTAGTAGATATGCATTCTACGTTTTGATGAAACACACTAAGAAGCACAATTTTTTATTCATCGTTAGTGGATTCTTTATCTTCCGTTGGTTGCTACGCCTTCTTGGTTTTTTTAATTTCTAACTCAGCAATCCGTTTGAAACAAGGACATTCAGGATCAGTAAGACAATGGTCAGTTTTCAAAGTTTTTCCCAGCCTTTTGTTGGTTTCTAGGCAATTGATGCATTTCTTTTCTAGTGTATTATTACATTCTTTGCTGTAATGAGCTTTCGCACAAATGTAACATGTTATACTATTCTGGCATATTGATTGGGTATGGCCATATCTACCACATTTAAAGCATCTGACAATATTGTAATATTCATTTGCTAAGCACCGCCTCCAACCAATATTCAAATGTCCATATTCAGAAATTTTCTTACTTAGATCTACATCAAACCTCGAAAATAATATTTCCCTTGTTTGGTCTATTTTTGTTTAACATTCGTTATGATTTTCATTACTGAGTCTTGCTTTAGATTTAAATCATTTTGATTTTTTAGGGCGCTCAAGATATCTTCATCCTCTCCTTCTAAATATTAATGTTCCACTCCACAGATAACTTTTGGATTTTTTGTTTTCCATCTTCGACTTGATATTTACTGCCAAATTCACTATCTACTTTATTTTTTATTCTTTCTTTGGTACCCGCATTACTGCAGTTAATGATTACTGATCCCTCTCTGATATTCTCAACTCTAATGGCCATTTTTGTCGGATCAATACTGTCTTCTAATATCATTTTTGGTAACAGTGCTTTCCTGTTTCTCCTTAGACTTTACAATAATGACATCTCTTGAATCTGCTGCAGCTGCATAAGTTTTAGTAACACCGCAACTATCATTACTTATTGTTGATATTCCTAGTAACTGCGTTATTTGATCATTCTGTTTTTTCAATTGTTCACTTTGTTCTTTAATTATCCTCTTTAGTTCTTTAAATTATTCTGTAATTTTAACTTCCACCGCATTTATCTTGATATCTATAATGTCACATGAAGGTTCCTTCCTACATTTCTTGCAGACTAGAATTAACATTCTCTCATTCTTTAATTCCATTACTTTCACTTCGGACGAAGTAAGTCCAAAACATGTTTTGCATTTAACGATTTTACAGTAATCACATGGAAAAGTTTCTCTACCTTTATCAGGCGGTTTATCACATGAATTACATTTCATTTTGATAAATAAAATTCATTCAAATTATTTTAACTACACCACTGGAAGTATATTTTTATCAACTAGAGGCAAAAAGTGGTCATTTATATGTAGCGAACAAAAAACTGCAAAATGAAATTCCTTGAATCAATTAGGAATTTCATTAATTTCGTGGATTTTTAATTAAACTTACTTTATTTTGCAACGTAGTTTATAGCAGCCATCATTTAATAACGTATATGTATCGTTTATTTCATCATGTTTTGGAACCTGTCAATCAAATCAAGGATCTAGGGATCACCTTTAACTCCTCCATGAGCTTTTTTGTCTCATCGGCTTCAACTGCTGTTATTTCCTCGTGTTATGTAGGCTTTGTTACTGTTTCCCAGCGCCACTTTAGGAACAACACTGTTATTAGAACCCAACAGTGAATAATGGCAATATCACTGCTACAGTTCAAAAATCAATGAAAATGCTGGGCTTTGTCAAGATGACAACTCATGATTTCACTAATCTAAACACAATTAAAATTCTATACTTCTTTTTAGTTAGACATAACTTGATTATCGCTCCTCAGTCTAGTTCCCACACATAAAAGTAAACTGGATGGAGCTCAAAATAGTTTTCTTAAATACATTGCATTTAAAAAAACATTTACTACAATTATACCGAATTGCAACAATATTTAAGCATACCTTATCTGGAAGTTCATAGGAGACGAAAAGATCTTACCATGTTGTCCAATATTATTAATAGCAGATGTAATTGCTCCTGACCTCCTTGCAAGAATCAATCTTTTTGTGCCGTCCGTCACATAACGTGTGTCTTTTTATCCAACTGTTGCAGCAACGTTGGCATCGGTGCGGTATGTCAACTGTTATTTATTTCAACGGTCAACCAGAATCCAAAACTTCCAGGCCGCATCGGTGAAACAACGGTTGCAACAAACCGGTGGAAAAAAAGACACACGTATACTACTAGACAAATTCAAACATTCCATGTGCCTTTTCACTGATAAAATTATGATTTTAATACATTAAATCCTAGAACACTTGGACTAGTTAATATTTATCCTGCAGTAATCTGCGCCTGTTATAGGTAAATGTACTAATAAAAAAGAAGTGCAATGACACACAGCACCCTACAGTGTTATAAGTAACAGGAATATATTTGCATTCCGTATCTGGACCTTTCGAGAAAATTAAGGGAGCTATATAAGGCGATGATTTTGACATCACAAGTTCAGTTTTATGATAGCCATTGAAGTAAATAGTTGTATAGTTAATTGTAAAAGTTTGAGTTTGGAAATAAATTGAGTTTTCCAAGAACTAGTGTAACATTTTTTGGTGACAATGCTACAGCGTATTTGTGACCATAACATAAATTTTTTACTTGTTGCAAAATGTGGTATCCCCATAAATAAATATAGTATATATTAAATTATCTTTGTTTAAATATACACACACTATAAAAGATCAGTAAATATCTTACCAAATGACTCGCTTCCAATACTAGATGATCGTTTAACTTTTGAAGATGGAACTGACGATGAACACTTAGGAAGTTTTGGTAACTTAGGCTTTTCATTTTTTTGAATGGGCTCCTGAAAAATAAGATTTGTAGTTGTAGTACCAAATGTTATTTCAGTTGATAAAGTATTTCATGTACAGTTGACAAAACACCAAAATTTAATAGTGTGACTTAGACTTTGCATCATAACTGTTAAAAATTATTGTCGAATTAATTTTCAAAAATGACACAGCATTTAACTGAAGCTCAAAAGAAGAGGGCTATATCAAAATTTGAAGAAAATTGGTCTTTAAGTGAAGTGACTGCTGAATTAAATGTCAGTAAAATTTGCATATTTTACGTTAAGAACAAATATTGCAAAGACCTTTCAAACAAAGTGTATGGAAGGTCTCTAATGAAAATGAAGCCAATCGAATATATTCGTTAAAATCTTTTTGGAACCGCTGTGAAAGCACGAAATGAAACATTATGCACAGGATTTTTGAGAATAGCTCAAATGCATTTAAAAGATGCTGACTTAAAAAATTGCGCTTCTGCCAGCAAAGTTTTTGTAACTGCAGAAAATAAGCACAGGCTAGTCCAGATTTCAAATGAATTTTTAATTCATAGAGAGTAATTTTGGAACAACGTGGTATTCTCTAATGAAATGAGTTTCCACTCTTCTAACAGCGAAAGGCTATCAGTTTATCGTTCTAGAAACTCAAGATTCGAAGATAATTATACATTCGGAACTGGTAATAGTGGGAACTTTTCTGTCAATGTTTGGGCGTGTATAAGCATTAACATTCCTGGAATGTGCTGGCAAATTAATGGGCATTTAACAGCCGAACAATACATAAACATCTTAGACGATGTTTTGTTACCATCAGTAAGAGAAGTTTTCCCCGACAATTTTATATTTCAACACATAAGAAATCAGTTTGGTATACTCGTAAATATTTATAATAATTGATTTTTATTAAAGGATAATCCAGTTAATACGGCTTGAATAGTAAAAGAATGGGTCAACAACATAAATTGAAAATGTAGAATAGAATAGAAAAAACTTTATTTACAAGTGTATATAAAAGTGAATGGTGTCATATACAATCAAAATAAAATGGTTACAATATGGAATAATACTAACACTTTCTAATACATTAACTTATAAACATATTTATTTTAGTGAAACATAAGTAAATTGGCAGTAAATAAAAACGGGAAGCAAATAACAACAAGCAACAAATGTAATGTTTTCACTTTTTTTAAGTTGTCTTCCTGTTTTATATTAATTGGCAACTTATTGAAAAACTGGATGCATGCATATTCAAGCTGCTCTTCAGTTGATGAAAGTCTATAAGTTGGTACATTGTAGTTTATGATATGATTTCTGGTATTTAAATTATGCTGTATCCTATGTATTTCAAATTTTTCGCAATTTCTACTTTTGTAAAATAAATATATGTTCAGCTATACTACTTGCTCTCCAAAACATAATCCCACATCTGATAAGTGAGACTTGCGGCCAAGTTCCAAATATTTCGATGTTACTCTAAATGAATAACAGACGGATGCTAATTTTTCACTGATGTGGTTTTCAAAATCTAAATTATAGTTTATATATACTAGTTTTTTCCTTATTTATTACTAGCCTATTCATTAAAAACCACTCTTGTATCCTATCAACGTTTTCATTAGCTACAGATAAAATATCATTTAACGATTTTGCTTCTACCAATATATTTGTATCATCTTCAAAATTAACAAGATTGTCATTTATATTATTTACTATGCATGAAGCTAAATCGTTTATGTAAAATACAAATAATAATGGACTTATTATGCTTCCCTATGGAATATTTAAGCTCCTTCCCCTGAATAATATTTACTCTCCTGATTTTCTATTACAACCTTTTGTTTGCGTAATGAAAGATAATAATTTATCCAATCATAGGCTGGTCCTCTAATTTAAGATCTCTCTAGCTTCTCTAGTAATACTTTATAATTTAAGCTATCAAACGCCTTTGAAAAATTTAGAAAAATTCCCATTGACACCTTTATTTTCATACCCTGCACTTACACGTTCAATAAAATCATATACAGCTGTTTCAATAAATCGCTCCTTTAAATAACCATGTTGTGAGTGACTCAGTAGTTTTTCTGCATAAAAGAAGCCTAACACACATTACCATTTCAAATATGACAGAGATGGCAGCCATATTTAAACTAAAAAAAAAGTTGGATAGTAGTCTACTATCCCTAAATATTGATAAAACAAAATTTTTGGCTTTCTCTTTTTCAGCTAAAACATCTCCTAATTTGCACAAAATTATCCTTCATGACCAAACATGTCAATTAAATAATAATTGTCAGTGTAAAAATACTATAAAAAGATCAAATAATAACATTAAATACTTGGGAGTACTACTCATTGACGAATATCTCACATGGAAAGATCATATACAATGTCACCGGAAATATTAGAAAATTAATTTTTAAATTCTATGAATTATGTAACATTCTTTTTCCAAAAATTTAAAAAGCCGTCTATCTCTGTCTTGTAGAATCAATCATAAACTATGGGTTAGTTGTTTGGGGGTAATGCTGGTAGTACATTTGTCTCTAAGTTACAAATTGCACAGAAATACATAATTAAAATTATGTTTTTTAAAAACAGAAGATATTCAACCGAATTGGTTTATAAAGATAGTAATTTACTAACTCCTTATCAACTTTATTTGAAATCGATAATCAGATTTAAGTTAAAAACAAACCATTTTAAACAAGGATTGTCTCATAAAATTAATACTAGACTGGCTGCTAAAAAAGATTTATGGCTTCAAAATCCTAAATATACTGCATGTCAGAACCATATTTATTTATTTCCAAACAGGCTTTACGCCTAATGACATGGAAACTTAACAAAATAACAATACAATGTACGCTAATAAAGCTAAAGTCATATTCTCAATTACCAAACTTAAAAAAAAAAATTAAACAACAAACATAAAAAAATATATTCATATATACGTATAAAATATTCTATATAATCAGTCAAAATTACACCGATGTATCTATTAAATGATCAACTATCATTTTTTTAAATTTTGTAGAAATATACGAAAAATCAAGATCAATTAGTTGATTTATTTCATTATATCTTCGTAACATCGATAAGAGAGGACATGTGGAGGTAATAATTTTACTAGTTTTTGGCAATCTAAAAAATAAAGGACATCTTGTTTGGTATGGTGGAGTGTTAAAATATATAAGACTTAAAATATTTGTATCATTTATATGATTATTTATTATATTATATAAAAACATAATTTGTGTTACATCTCTTCTAATAGACAAGGATGGTATTTTAAAATGGTTTCTAAGTTCAGTAGTTCTGATCACTCTATAATCCGGCCATTGATGATTTTCTTTATAATATAAAAAACGAAGTAATTTATTTTAAATATTTTCTACCATACCACAATACTTTTGAGGTTGTGACATCCATAATATGGATGCATTAATTTAGGTCGGACCAATGTGAAATACAAATGTTTTATTGTACTTACTTTAGTAAAACCGTAACTGTTTCTAATAATGAAACCCAACATTTGGTTTGACTTTTTGCAAATTTCTGTAAAATGAGCCTCATAAGACAAGCTGGTATTATAACGTACTCTCAAATCCCTAATGTCATTTTTTCTCGTCAGAATTTCATTTTCAAACATATAATCAAAAAGAACCCTAGTATTACGCAAAGTAAAACTAATTACATAACATTTGTTAATATTAAAAAATAATTTATTAATTATACTCCATTCATAAATTCTATTTAAATCCCTTTGTAAACCCACACAATCCCTAACAGTTTTTATTCTTCTAAAACATTTAAAATCGTCCGCAAATAAAATACCCTCACTGCATTCAAGACACTTCAAAAGATCATTAATAAAAATGACAAACAACAGTGGCCCTAAATTGGAACCTTGAGGTACCCCTGAATTTATTTCAAATGCACCCGACTCATCTCCCTTATCTCCCACTTTAAAAAATGTATTTTGTATATAATTATTAACTAGATTGAAGTTTATCCCAAACTTTCCTAACTTCATTAAAAGTACTTCATGATCCACCCTGTCGAATGCCTTTGAAAAATCTGTAAATATAGCATCTAGTAATCTAGTTGAAAATCATGTTCAAATGATTCATATATTTTGTTTGTAAATAGGAACAAATTAGTATTTATAGATTTTTTATTTATGAAACCATGTTGGGACTCACTAATAGCTCCTTGCACATGACGATATATTTTCTGTATATAATTTGTTCTAGTAATTTAGATGGTGCACAAATGATAAATATTCCTCTATAATTTGCAATGTTAGTTTTATCCCCGGATTTATGTAAAGTAACACAAGTAGCTGTTTTCCACTCTTGTGGAAATATTCCAGTGCTCAAAGCTAAATTAAATTTAAACAAAAGTGGAACTTCTAACCATTCAGCCAGTGCTTTAATAACATATGGGGGAATATTATCAATCCCTGCAGATTTCTTTGGCTTGAGCTTTCTTACCGCTTCTTCAAAATCTTCATTACTAATACAATTGAAAACAAATTTATTACCTAAATTACCCTCCTCTGGTATTACTGAGTAATTAGCCTTTTGTGCAGCATAAACAGAAGAAAAATATTGAGCAAAATCTTGAGCTATTCTATAACCAGTTACTTGCATACTATTTAAATGAAATTTAGTTTCTACACAACTATTCTTTTTCTTTCTATTGACATATGACCAAAAGTCGTTGACGTTATTAACTATAATATTATCTTCAATTTCTGATATATGAGATTTATATCTTTCTTTGGTTAATATTTTGAGTTGCCTTCTAACCTAAATGTATTTTAGATTGCATCCATCAGATATATTCTTAAGTTGCTTTAAAGTATTTTTTTCTTTATGTAACATTTTCATCTCATCATTAAACCACAGTGGATAGTTTTTCTTTCGATATTTTTTATTCGAAAATTTTGGAACAGATACATTAAATATATCATTATAATAATAATAATATTCTTTATTTGGAGCTAAATAAAAAAAAAATACATAATACAAGAAATAAAGAAAACATCGTACCTAAAAAATGTATAACTGCAAAATAGAGCCGACAAACAGTAAAAACTGATACAAAGTGTCGGACCTAGCAAACAAAAACAAACAAAAAAAATTAGATTAAAAAATAATTAAATATCATATAACACTATTTTAATTAGTTTAGAGCTATTTTAATTAGTTTAGAGAGAAAAATATAATGTTATGTCATCGAATTATATAAAATCCGTTTATATTCTTTTGAGAAAAGACTGATTCCAAATTGTTTAATAGTCTGGGAAATACCATTGTATAGCTTGTAAATATTATAAGAAAAATACCTTTGAAACATACTGGTACGATGGGGTGGTGGAGATATGTAATCACGAGAACGAATGTTGATGTTATGAACATGCGACCTATAAACAATTTTGTTAAACAAGTATGGTGGAGACTTGAACACAACAATTTTATGAAATAAAGTTGCCATATGTAATTTCCGTCTAGAAGACATAGAAGACATTCATTATTACATAAAAGTGTTCAACTGCTACATTCACATCTACCTGATTTACTACTAAATCCCAATTTGTATTCCTAACCAAGTCAGTTAATAGCTCAAAATTTGCTTTTGTAAAATGAAATGTATTATTTAAATTTGTCTCAAGTCTATTAGCTGTTTGTTTATTATTGATTAAATTTGTTAATCTCTAAAGCAGGGTGATATACATCTTCTTCAACTAAAGGTGTAGGACATTGCACTATTCTAATATGGTTAATCCATTGTGTAGGTCCTAAGGTATATAATTGTTTACCACAGGAATTTAAAAATAAGTCATATCATAAAATCAAAAATAGGATAAACCAATGGATAGTTAAAACAAATTTTTCGATTGCTTATCTTTTATAAATATAATGTCCTGTAATCCTAAAATTTAATCATTTTCAGTATTTGCTTTTCTATTAATATTAGATCATTTGCAGGTAATTTTAGGTAAATTGATTTATATCTAATTAACCTCTTTCTAAGAATGTATATAAGTGTCATTAAGCGCGCGCGCCCACACACACACACACCCACCCACGCACGCACGCACGCACGCCCACGCACCCGCACACACACGCACACGCACACGCACACGCACACGCACACGCACACACACACACACACACACACACACACACACACACACACACAGTATATTAACTTGCCATTGTGCCCTGAATAGCTATTTATTTTCCTCTCCTTTCAATAATGCAACCAGGAGACAAGGTTTAATTAATTCCTAGCAATGAGAAAAAATGAATATTCAAAATTAGACCATTAAAAGTCTTGTCTTCTAATTTATAAGTTTCTCAATAAGTTCTTGATTACTTTGAATGTTAGGCTACTAGTGAACTTAAGTCGCACTGTTAGGTAATTAGGATACCTTGTTTATATTTAAGTTATTATTTATATTTATGTAATAATTTGTAAAATTACTGTAATGGCTAATAAATAAATAAATAAATAAATAAATATCTTTGATAAACACGACAATAGACTTATCGGACGATAATTCTCCATCAAGCTTGGATCTTCATTTTTGAAAAGTAGTTTAACAAATGCCAGTTTCAGTTTATTGGGGAAAATGCTATCATAACCTGAACTAGATTTATTTTTTAACTCATTAAATAGTATTAAAGTTTCATCAATGGTGATCAGTATTAGAAAAAAGGAGTTTTTATTCAATGCAATTTTGCAATGGAAGTCAACATGCAGTAAATTTTTTAAAATATTTGGTATATGGGGGCTTCATAGTCAAAAAAAGATAATTTAGGTTGGAAAACCGTGGTCAACTATTCTCCCCTTTCTTTGCAACACCACTGGTTAAAGCCAGATTTACAGGGATGAATTTCAGTATAAATCCCATGACATCCCAATTGGATTGCGCCAGCTGTACCTATTATTGAAAAAATTACCTTATAGGCTTTTGTAACCAGTCTGCGTTTCTTTTTTTGAGTTTCGTCTCCCTCGGTGTCAGACACAGGCTCATCATTTTCATCAATACTAAAGTCTGAGTCGACAACGTCTTCGTCATCATCTACAGCCCTAAAGAAAACATATATTTATATAATTAGCCTAGGGAATATAATTAACCAAAGGGTCGGTATTTTCACCTCTGAGTGAAGTTGAAACTAAATACCTGCTTAAACTATATGCCTTTGTTCCTTAAAATGTCAAGTAATAAGGTGCTGAAAACATGGAGATTTTTTGACAAATTCTATTTGCAGTAATGGTTTGGTTCATTGAGGAGCAAAAAGGGACATATTTAATAGAGTGCTATATTGGGGCCAAAAATCAGAAATGTTGTCCTTTATAATTAGTTTCAAAATATCGTAAAGGAGAACAGATAGGACAGGAGGACACTTTTCGAGAAAAGACAGAATCTACAAAAAAGGACTGTACTCCCTAAAAGAGGACGATTGGTCACCTTACAAGTAACCCTAAATGTAACTTTACTTAGAAGTGAAAAGATCGGCCCTAACTCAATTTTGTAGATATATTTACTCATATTCATTGTCAGAGGCAGTTTCTTGAAATCCTCCATAATTTTGTTTGTAGAAATCATCCTGACACTCTTCTTCTTCATCAAGAAGTTTGAACATTCGATTACCGGCATTCGCCCGGCGATCTCGTTGCATCTTGAATTTTCGTTTTCTATCAATAAATTATAAATAGAAATGCAAATTTTACTAATTATATGTATTTTTAACTATTCACAAACAAAATGTAAATCAAAAATCAAACCGCATCAAAATAAACAAATCCATTACACTGTGACATTACATAACCTCATATGTCATGTCAAACACAAACGTCAACGTGCGTCAACCGTTTCCCGACCAATGATGTTGAAATTAAAAAACATCCGATAGAAATAAAATATGGAGACATCCATGGCATGCAATGAACTTTGCGATGCGACTCTTGGTGCGTTTGATTTGATCATCGGAGATCTCCGAGCGCTTCAAAAGTGTTTGAATTGACACTCCGAGAGATCCCTAAAGTGTTTGTTTCGCTTTGGAGCGAGAACATAGAGCGAGCTCGATGTTCTCAGAGCAGAAAGATCGAGAAGAGGGAGAAATTTGTCTTTGTCTCTACCTATCTCTTTTTAATTAACTTACAAACAAATTTGAATCTCAAAATTAAAGACCAGACAAGAACTCAACAAATTACTTAGCCGCTTTTGTCTTATAGCTAAAATTATTCATTATAAACACAAAATGTGTGTTTGCGAAATACATTTTTTCTGTCCAGATCTAATCACCAGTAATCACAGTCATGGAGTAGGAGAGCGAAGCGGGCATTTGTGGTAAATGCTGCATTTCAGGGCCATTACCCCTTATTATTAAAAGTTTCTCCATTTTCTTTACTTTTTGCTTACTATTTTAACATACAAACCAGAAAAAAGAATCACAAAAAAGCGAGGTTATGTTTTTTACTCTGTTTTATTTGATTTGATTCAATGCTCTATTGTGACGTCATCACTTCTCGGTCTCCTCGACGCTCGCTCGATCGAGTTTCAAATCAAACGCCCCTTCTATGGGCAAAGACAGGTTATTTTTCATCTCACTCGAGAGTATTTATAACAACCATTTCCTATTTCACTTTGTTATTGTCTGATCCACCAGCATGTGGATTGAACAATAACAATGTGAAACAGAAAATGGTTATTATAAATACTCCTGAGTGAGATGAGAAATAAAAATGGCTGCGCCCATAGAGTCGCATCTATTTCTATTGATACAATATGCACATTGGCTTTCTACCCCACTCCAGTTCATTGATGGCATGCCGTCCGCCCAAGGTCCATAAAATAGCTATTTTATGGACCTTAGGTCTGTTCTGGTTTTGAGAAATAACGATCCACAACTGTCGGGCTCATGCGCAGTAGATAAAAAGTGTTCTGGTTTTTCTGGGACTACTTCGGATCTCTCAGTCCAGTGTTCTGGTTTCGTATCCGAAATAATCCGTGATTGTTGTAAACAGTCAAAAAGTGTTCATGCTTGGGAGTGTGGATCGACTCGGACTGTTTTGACCGCGCATGCGTTTTTGAAGTGTTATGAATATTGTATTGGCTTTTTAGACCATACGAAACGTATACAATCCCAAATTGTTTATTTATATGTGGACGAATGTCTCTTGTTCTTGTTTTATTTGTAAATTAAAGCAATTTTAGAATTATTAATTTTTTAATATTCTGTTTTTATTTATTCCATTGAAATGTGATGATAATGATAAACATATACATGCAAATGTTATTTGAAGCTGAGCTTTCAAAAGGAACTTCATTATTATAATAAACAATAAACAAAACACCTTCATGACGTGTTCTGGTTTTCCAAGAATTTCAAACAGTCGGGGATTTTTTGCCTTTACGCATACGGTCCGGCGCAGTTTCAAAACAGTTTTCATTTTGAGAACCAGAACAAACCTAGTAGGTCCGCCGCCTACCATCCACCTACCATCACAGTAGCAGTGTTGTTCCTTGCTGCACAATCGTGCCAAAAGTGGCACAATTTACACTAAAAATGCACCGCGGCACCTCTCCCTATAAAGTGGCACTATTTGTTTTTTTTTTTCAAAAATCTTGCAGGCTTGCCGAAATAAAACATAAAGCAAAAAACAAACATACCAACACAAATCCTTCAGTATTAAATTTTGGATATAAAGATTTTGTATTATAAGTATAAGTTGCCTATCCGACATTTTACGGGCAACGCGAAAGACTATGTTTTCATCGACGGCCGGGTGAGGCTGGTTTGTATAGAGGAAGTAAAAGTTGAAAACAGTGTTGCCAGAGTACCCTGAAGGAATGTAATAGATGAACTCTCAAAATTGTAATAAATTTCAAGAAAATGTAATAGAAATTTTAGTCAACTTAAAATGAACTATACATAAAAAATACGATTCTATTGCTGCGTTTGAGAATTCACATCGGATTCATCTGAGATGTAGTAAATCTTTAATCACGTGATTTAGTATACGTAAATGTAATAGGACAGATGTGTCCGATGTAGATAAAAAAACACTCGAGATGTAAAAAATGCATCCGATGTGGATTCTCAAACGCGGCAATTGTATTGATTTTTGTCGCATTTGAAAATCCACATCCGATGCATTTTTTTAAATCTCGAGCGTTTGTTTATCCACATCGGACACATCTACATCTGCGTTTGTTTATCCGAGATGTACCTATCCAGATTACATTTTTTACATCTCGATTTAAAATGAGATGTGAATGAGGTGGTCGTTCCATGCCGGAAAGTAAGTTTTCTGTGAAGCCAAGTTTGTCAATTTATCCTTTGTTTATGCTAGCGTGAATATAAAAGTAATTAGTTTGTTTAGATTTCAAATTTAGGTTGATTTGTGGTCTCAAAATTCAAATTTAAAAAGTATAAACTTCTAACTTGTCGCAGATAAATTCAGAACGGTTCTGTACTGCGGTTGAAACAAATCTTTTGTAAAGAAAACGAAGAAAAAAGAAATTCTGTCTCCAATGCAAGGTCCAATGATATAAGAAACTTTTTAAGCGCTTTGGGCATGTTCAAGAAAATATGTTTGGGATGAACTTAACCAAATAAACCTGTTTAAGATGGTATTAGTTGTATGAAATAATAAACAATATATTAGGAACATAGAAAATCAAGGGTTAGGTTCAAGTTTATCAATCGTGAAAATGTAATAGATTTATTGGACATGTAATAATGTAATAAACTCTTCAAAAATGTAATAGATTTGTTACAATTGTAACAAACTGGCAACACTGGTTGAAAAGTCTTTTGGTAGGTAGAGAGGGAGTAAACGTCAAACCACGTCGGGCGGCTCCGAGAATTTCACAGTAATGTTTACCTGCCAGTGTCGTTTCATAGAATAAGTAATTTTAAATTGTTATCAGCGGAACCGGACAATCGCATGTATTTATGGATTATAAATAATTATTAAACATGTATTATAATATTCAAATTATAATTTTACAAAATTTCAACAGCTATTCACAATTTATTAAACTATTTACTCGAAATTGTTATTAACATCTATAAAATAATTTTGTACGCCAATGTATCGCGTCCACTTCGGTAAAATCCGCTGCCAACCTGTCAATTTGTGTATAAAGTGGGAGAACTGGCAAAAGCATTTCCAACTCTTTACTTCTGTTCTATTTCAAGTGCCTACTCGATAATTTGGATAACAACAGGCATACCAGCCTATCTATCATATCTGCTGCGTGTAGCTGCTTGTGACCTTGTGACTTGTGAGCGGCGGGGATTTACATAAGTCGTTTTATTATTTATCTTTTATCTACGCTTGGTTGCGCAGTTCTTTTGTTTTTCGTTAGCCGGTAAAATGTAAAAGTGTTTAGCTCACACAATAAGAATAATAAGATGGAACAGTTCATGCAAAAGTAAGTAATAGTACCGTTATTTTTTGCTGTAGTTAGAAAAGTATGATAAAAACAGTTTTCCTGTTTTAGATATAAACCGGAAATAATTGACAAATTAGTGAAAAACCTGTTAAAACGTTCGCAGAGGTGTATTGACGTTCACGGTGTTCATTTTGAAAATCTACTTTAATTTTAATTAATTATTTGTATCTGTTAGTTTGTTGTTACTTTATGAAATAAAGTGAGCCCGGTCCTGTGTAGATGTTCAATTTCTTATTGGAAAATGCAGCAGTTAAACATAAATGAAGATGGTACCTAATTTGTGTAGAGTTTTAAAAATACAGTGTAAAATATTTGATTTCAATTTTATAAATACTGATTTATAATATTGTAGTCGCCATTATAAAAATTTACTGTAAGAAAATCAAGATGGTGGCATTAAATATTATTACATTATTTTATTTATTGATCCATGTACTATTTAAATGCAGTAACATTTATTAAAATCTAATATACAGGGTGATATTCTAGCTAAGAAGAGCAATATAAAAAATGAGAATCCGGTCCTGGAATTTTTTAAAATTAAATTATGGTTTTGATTAAACTAGGACAGTGTAACTTTTGTACAAAATTGTATCAAAATATCTCTAGCCGGTCAAACAAAATGGCCGATTTTAGTTTTGGTAAAAAATCATAAAACACTATATTTTAGAAACGAGTAAGATTAAAGGCTAAGTATGGGGGTGTTTTGAACTCAGGTAAGTGTACTCTACCTTCCATTGAGCTGTGTTTGTTTAAATCTGAAACACCCTGTATGAACAAAAGTTTAGCAACACTGTGCGGCACCTTCGGTAGGTAAAACGGCACGATTCCGCATGAAAAATGGCACAGTAAAAAATCTGCTTGGAACAACGCTGCACAGTAGTGATCTCTGTGACAATCACCAATAATCAAGAAATGTCACAAAACACGGAATAAAATTTCCTGTTCATTTACTTTTAAATTAAATAAAGGATAAAGGCACGTGGAATAAAAGGTAAGTTACGTTCCTTCTTCTTTTTAATTGTTCAAGTTTTCGTATTCCAAAAATATCTGCAAATTAGCAAAATTTATTGTGGTTTATTGCGAATTTGCAGATATTTTTTGGAATACGAAAACTTGATACTTGCATCTGTAAGGACCGATTCCACCGTTGTGTTAAACGAAGTTTAAAATGACATTTTTACTTTTTACATTAACAATGTCATTTTAATCTCCGTTTAACACAACGGTGGTATCGGTCCTAAAGCCTTGGTTTCTTTGAACACTCCGTCGCGGCGAGCGGACAGTCCGTCGACCGCTGAGGACAGCAATTTTCGCCCGAGGTGGTTTGTTAAAAAATATAGAAAATGATATTTTCTCTATGTTTGTACGTGCTGTTTATGTATTATGAATGTAAACGAAAGGTACTAAAATGGATGCAATTAAATTGTTTGCGTTGTTATTATTGTTGGAAGAGGAAGAACAAGAGGAACTGGCAATTGCAACCG